AGGGTGTTACTATGAGCGAGATAGGTGGAGGGATTGAGGAGATGGTGCTACAGGAGTCTCATCTCTTGAACTTCTCGAGAGATTTGTACTTGATTTATTATTGTCGCATGTATCAAGATACAGTCAAAAGTATTGTATTGCATGCTAACCAGACAAATCATACCTTACGTAAGTACATCAGCGTAATAGAACAGAATGTAGAATATAATGTTAAAGCCAAAGAGAAGATGCAGAGGAAGATCAACTGTAATATATGAGAGGTCTGTTAATAAGTCTGATAACAGTGGGGAAGAAGCTATTCTTGTAGCTGTTGGTAGATGTTTTCAAACTTTTGTATCCTCTGTCCAATGGAAAAGGGTGGAAGACAGTATACCTGGTTTGGAGGTGGTCTTTGATTATATTGGCTGCATTCCTGAGGCAGTGGGAAGTATAGGCAGAGTCAATGGAAAGAAGGCTAGTTTTAATGATAGACTGGTCTGCAATTCGCAACTCTCTGTAATTTCTTGTGATCTAGAACAGAGCAGTTGATGTACCAAGCTGTGCTGCATCCGGATAGGATGCTTTCTATAGTAAGAGTCGTTGTAGACATGCTGAATTTCCTTAGACTTTATAGGAAGTAGAGATGTAGGTGTGCTTTCTTGACTGTCAATGTGAATGGGCCAGGATAGATCGTTGATGATATTTAGATCATAGATCATAGAATCCTCACAGTGTGGAAACAGGCCCTTCGGCCCAACAAGTCCATACCGGCACTCAGAGCATCCCACCCAGACCCATCCCCCTGTAACCCACCTAATCTACACATCCCTGAACACTATGGGCAATTTAGCAAGGCCAATTCACCTAGCCTGCACATCTTTAGACTGTGGAAGGAAACCAGAGCACCCAGAGGAAACCTATGCAGACACTGGGAGAATGTGCGAACTCCACACAGTCGTCCGAGGCTGGAATCAGACCCAGGTCCCTAGTGCTGTGAGGCAGCAGTGCTAACCACTGAGCCACCATGCCGCCCCTATGTAATCCTAGAAACTTGACGCTCTTGACCATTTCCACCTTGGCACCATTGATACAGATGAAGGCATGTTCTCCACTCTGTTTTCTGAAGTCTGTAACCAGCTACTTCGTTTTACTGACATTGGAGGAGAGGTTGTTGTCTTACATCATGCCACTAAGCTGTCTATCTCCTTCCTGTACTGTCTTCCCTCCAATTGTGTTTGAGATTTGACCCATTTCGTAGTATCATCAGGAAATGTGTAAATGGAATTAGAGCTGAATTTGGCCACACGCTCTACCTTCAACACCATAACTCCAACAAAACCTGTCTCCAAACTCTGAGACCTATAATTCTGCCCCCACCTCTACAACTGGATCCTCGACTTCCTGACCCACAAGCTGCAATCAGTAAGAATGGGCGACAATACCTCCTCCACAATAATCCTTAACATCAATGCCTCACAAGGCTGTGTAATTAGTCCCTTACTATTCTTCTTATAATTAAAAGTCTGACGTATGTGTCCTTGTTATCCAGATGTTTTAGGGATAAGTATAGGGCCAGGGAGATAGAGTCTGCCGTGGATCTGTTGTCACAGTAGGTAAATTGTAGCGGATTTGAGATTCTTGTTCTCTGTGTGGATCAAAATAGAAGCTGTTAGGAGGATGAGCAAACTGACCATAACACTGTGGTACAGGAAGCCGTTGTAATACCATTACATCGAATTCCAGCATCTTCCTGAAAATGCAGGGTGAATTCTATCATGCTGTGGCCCAGTAAATGATAAAAGTAGTTGTATTTGGATTAGTATAGTCATGCGAATAAATGCTTGTCTTTAATCAGGATCGACAATTCTGAAGGCTGTCTTGCTTGCCTGGTGCCTGGGTTCAGGATATCTCACCTGGGCTCCAGAGGGACTTGGATTGGGAGGGGAAAGATCCAGTTTGTCGTGGTCCACGTAGATACCAGTGATAGAGATAGAAAGAGGAAAATGGTTCTGCTGAGGGCGTATGAGCAACTAGGGATTGAATTAAAAAACAGAGCCAAAGGTGTAATCTCTGGATTACTATCTAAATCAAGAGCAAATTGGCACAGGGTCATCAAGATTAAAAGAGGTAAATGTGTTTTCAAAGATTGGTGTGGGAGAAATGGGGTTGAATTCATGGCATCTTGACATGGAGGGGGAGAGAGCTGTTCAAATGGTTCAGGCTCCACCTGAATTGTGCTGGGACCAGAGTCCTGGCAAATTGCACAACTAGGGCTGTGGGTAGGGTTTTAAACTAAATATTAAGGCTGGGGGAAGGTTTCAGTTGCGTGGAAAATTATGGAAAGAGTTAAAGGGGTAGAGGGCTCAGAAGAAGTTATTAAAGTTTCCAGAATAAGTAATAGGTTGGAAAAAGTCAGAAATCTAATTTTAGGCACAGCAAATAAGGGGACAGCTATGAGAAAGGAGACAGTCAATGCTGGACTGAGGACGTTGTACTCAAACGCATGCAGTATATGAAACAAGGTAAATTAACTTGTAGTTTAGATTGAAATTGGCTGGTATGATGTTGTGAATATCACAGAGGCATGGCTGCAAGGGGATCAGGGCTGAGAATTACATATCTGAGGATACACATCCTATCAAAAATACATGCGGATGGGCTGGGCAGAGCAGACAGGGTTTCCTTGTTAGTAAGTTGATAGCAAGAATTGATGTACATGTCGGAAGTTGTGGAACCTGGCAGAGTAGAGGAACCGCAACTAAAAAGGATCCTGATGGGAGTTATGTACAGGCCTCCTATCAGTAATTGGGATATGGAGTAGAACTAAATAAGGATATAGAAAAGGCATGTAAGAAAGGTACTATTACAGTAATCATGCAGGTCCTCAGGTGAACTGGAAAAATCAGGTCGGAGAGGATCTCGAGAAAAGGAATTTGTGGAATGCCTCCAACATCATTTTTGGAGCAGCTTGTGCTACAGCCCAATAAGGGAACAGCCAATTTTGGACTTGATGAGTTGTAATGAGGTGGACTTGATTGAGGAGTTTAAGGTGTAGAAACCCCTAGGGGACGTGGGCCACAGTATGATAGAATTCACCCTGCATTTTGAGGAAGATGCTGGAATCCGATGTAATGGTATTACAATTGAGTAAAGGTAACTACAAAGACTTAAAGGAGGAGCTGGCCAGAGTTGATTAGGAGTCTAGCCGTCATTCTTCCGAAAACAAAAGACTTGGGGTATGATTTAGGTGTTCGAAATAAATTTTGCTCATTTAATCAATTTCCACCATCTTTAAAACTTTTGATAATTTTTTTCACCTGGTATGCTCTGGTGTATATCTGTAGAAAGTGTCATTGTACACCAGTATATCAGACCATGCTTTAGTCTTGCAGATTTTGAATTTTGTGTCAGCCACTGAAACTCAGCAGATTATTGTAACATAATGTCATGTCCCTCCCAGAGCATTCATCATTTGCTTAACCTACTTTTTATCTGTTTTGGCTTCATGCTTTGTCCAAATAGTAATTTATTTTTTTTTTTGCTTTCCTTTTCTCAAGCATGCCTTTCATATAGAGATAGAGGTAAGATAAGTTTAACTTAGATTCCTTAAAGTTTTTAGAATTTAGATTATCTGTAGTATTGAAGGGAGAATATTCTTTCGACTGTGACACTGCTGCATGAAGCAAATCAACATGAAATATTGAATCTGGGCAATTTTTAAAAAAATCTATGAACATAGATGATTAAAACAGTTGTATCGTACTTTGACTCAAATAGTTACATTGTACTTCTATTAAAATAAAGCTTGTAATGTTGCTATTTTGACTGCAACTGCAATGAAATGCTGTAAATTCTCAATTTAACCTAAACTTTTAAATTTATGTTAAATCAGAATAGATCCACTACCTCTTTTTGGTGCATAGTTTTGAATATCTTTACATTACTAATAGTTCTTTACTATTGAATAATTTCCTTTGTAGAGGATAAATAAATTTTCAGTGTCGTCTTTTTATACACACTCTGAAGCATATAAATGTTTTGCTTGCTTCTTCAATTACAAACATATTTTTGTCATACATGGATTCTTTGTCCTTTCTCCCCCCATTTCTACATTGAATAGACTTGATTAATTGTGCAAAGAAGATGACTATCATATTGAATGCTTTATTTCAATTAATTAAGGTTTTGAGGTTTGGAAATTTTTCCATTAACCTGCTCGTAATGTATTGGTTTTGCTCCATTGTATTTGAATTGTCAAACCGTTCCTCCTGCTCTAGTTTGGCCCATTGCTGATGAAAGAACAAAAAGCTTGCTCTTTGCACCTCTGAAAACAACTACTGGGATGTGCATGAGAATTTTGCAGTGCATCCATCTCTCTTTACTGCAACAGAGCTTTCTTCATTGCCACTCCCGACAGTGCACCCAAAATAGGTATCACATGTGGGATTCCCTGGCATGAATTTATTTTCTCACTTCATGATGAGCAACCAGTATGTTAAATTGAAAATTAATTTTGAAAACATGAAAGTATACTGCAGGTATTTTTCCTATAATGCAATAGTTGCATTCTTGTGTGAAGTCGCGCTTTAGAAAATCGCGTTATAGGGAAATCCATTATACCTGTACAATAGAAAGTTCGTGTTACAGCGTACAGTATTCATCAGTCACGTTACAGCCAACTCACATTGATGCAACATGCATTATAGCAGAACTACCTGTATAACGAGATAAAAACATGGTGCGTAGTGAGATTAGTCTTTCATGTTTAGGTATTACTGATCAAGGAGTATCAAATTCATGAATGTAAATAAGCTCTCTTTGGGTAGTAATCTGAAGGAAAGCCCTAAAAGTGAAGTGAATAAGTTAACTTGAAATAAATTTGACATGATCTTGCAGAATTATTTAGGGAATGACTTCTGATTGTTAATGTTTTTCTTTCTTTAATCTTCCTCCAATTGTTAATGCTGTCATGTGCAGTTGTCTATTGATTTCTAAAACTGTACTTAAATCTTTCTTTGTAGGATCCAGGTCCAACGCCACCTTCTCCTATGCTTGGTCTAAAACCATTGCAGTTACTAGAACTTAAGGCCAGAGGGCGCTTTGGTTGTGTATGGAAAGCTCAACTACTGAATGAATATGTGGCAGTTAAAATATTCCCAATTCAGGTAAAAAGCTTGATTATTTTCGCTCTGCTTCCCTTGCAGTGACTGAGGAATGGGTAGCTTTTCTAACAAAAATATTTATCTTAGTGTGTGAGTTATGTCAGTTTGTTCAATAGTAGTTTACAATGCTGTAATGTTTCTGTTTTTCTAGGACAAACAGTCCTGGCAAAATGAATACGAAATATACAGTCAACCTGGAATGAACCATGAAAATCTTTTGCACTTCATTGGTGCAGAGAAAAGAGGGACAAACATAGATGTGGAATTGTGGTTGATATCTTCCTTCCATGAAAAGGTAGGGTATTATGGTTTTCGAAAAGTTACTTTTTGGCTTTTTTAGTACCAATTTCTAGGACAGAATTCAATTTCTGTCACTTGTCAAAAGCAGTTGGTTTAACCACCAGTAAAATTATGGTAATCCTTCTTATTGCTACAAAGATGCCTGCTGTGAGCATCAGATGGTTTTGAAACTGATCATAAGCTCGTTCAGCCCTAGGAGATTGTTGATGCGTGATCAAGAACACTACTTATTTTTGCTTTTAACCAGATAATTGCTGATGTCTTCAGAGATATTTTTAATGGAAAATCCCTATCTTAAAAGAGTCAGAAGAAGAAAACCCAAGATGAATAAAGATTTAAGCAGTTTCATTTTACTCAAAAAGGAATTGCATTTCAGATTTAACTAAATAGAATTGTATTTTATGGAGGAGAGAATGTGGTTGATGAGTAGAATTAGTGATTTGGTTTTCTTTATCTAAGCATTATGGTGTTAGTACTATAATTCCTGCAGTTTCTTTTTTACATTCGTTCATAGGATGTGAATATTGCTGGTAAGTCTGACAGTTAGTATACATCTTTGATTGCTGTCAAGCAGGTGGTGGTCAGCCACCGTGTTGAACCTTTGAAGCACAGATGCAATAGGTGCAACCAAAGTACTGTTAGACAGAGCGTGGTAGGACTTCTTGGTTGGCAGGTGGATTCTGAATGTTAGAGGTTTACCATAGAGAACACCCCAGTTAAGACTTGTAAGGAAACGGGCTGATCAGAGTAAAAGAACTCAGCAGCAAAAGTTGCTCAGCCATGGTCAGTTTAAGAAATTAAGGATATGATTAGATGATCCAAAGAGTACTCTCATAAAGTTGCCAGAAAAATATAGCAAGCCTGAGGACTGGGAGCAATTTAGAGTTCAGCGAAGAATGGCCAAGAGGTTGTTTCTGAGGGGATAAATAGTGTATGAGAATTAACTTGGAAGGAACATAAAAGCAGACTATACGAACTCCTTTGTTTTTTTTTTCAAAAAACAAATCAAAGCATATGTAGAGATAGTAAGAACTGCCAATGCTGGAGTCAGAGATAACAGTGTAGAACTGGAGGAACACAGCAGGCCAGGCAGCATCTTTCTGAAGAAGGCTCCTGACCCAAAATATCAACGTGCCTGCTCCTCTGATGCTGCCTGGCCTGCTGTGTTCCTTCAGCTCCACACTGTGTTATCAAAGCAAATGTAGACCCCTTACAGTCTGAAACAGAAGAAATTGATAATGGAGAACGAGGCTGTGGTAGTGCAATTAAACAACAACTTTTTTTTGTGTCTTCTATGAAGACAGAACCAAAACTTCCCAGAAGTGTAATGGAAGCAGGGACCTTTTGGGAAGGAGTAACTGAATGAAATTGCTATGTGTTTAAAAATTGGTAATAGATTGGGAAGAATTTGATGTACAAAGGTATCTGTTCATCTAAATTGTCACTGAAAGTAAGCATGCACATACAGCTTGCAAATTGTATGTTGGCCTTCATTGCAAGAGAATTTGACTTCAGCTGTACAAGACCTTGGTAAGACCACACCTGGAAAATTGTGTGGAGTTTTAGTCCCCTTATCTAAGAAAAGATATGCTTGCCACAGAGGGAGCGTAGAGAAGATTCACCAGGCTGATTCCTGTGATGGCTGATTTGTCATAGGAGGAGAGATTGGATTGACTGGGCTGGTATCTACAGGAGTTTTTGAAAAAAAGTGAAAAGTGTTCTCATTGAAACATATAAAAGCCTGACTCGGCTGGACAGACTGGATGCAGGGATGATGTTTCCCCTGGCAGAGGATTCCAGAACAAGTGTCACAGTCTTAAGGCCGTTTTGAACACAGATGAGGAGAAATATCTTCACTCAGATGATAGTCAACTTGCAGAATTAACTACCTCAGAAATGGTGCTGTAACTGGATATACTTTAAGAAGTAGATACACATCTATAAGTGAGAGCTGTCAAGGGGTATGGGGAGGATGCAAAAGTATAGCATTGAGACAGATAATCAGCCATAATCATATTGAATGGTAGAGCACATGGCCTACTGTGATTTTCTACAATAAAAATAGACTTTTTTTGTTTCAGATTTCTAGCATGCATGGTACTTTTTGCTATTTTCTACATTCTTTCTACAGTAAAATATTGCAAATGCCATCTTGCCTGCACCAACATTTCTGTGCATGTTTTATAAAACCTTTTCAATATGTTAGTTATGCTCAGGTGGGAGACTAAACATTTACTAACCCTACATTTTTTGTGAGAAGCACTTTGAAACCCTTTTTGTTTTAATTCAGAAAACTTGTTCAGGTTTACAAACGATTTGTACTTGGATTACCTATTCTCCCCAAACTGGAAGCTGTACTTAAGCATTTGCAGTTTGTATATTTTTGGTTTGCTTTGACCTGCTTGCCTCTAGTAGTGATCACTTATTACAGTGGATCATAATATGATTGAAAAACTTGGGTTCTGAAGTGGAACCAGTTATAGCTTTGAAGCTTGTTTTGTATTTCTATATTGCATGTCAAGAAGGGAAGATGTAGTTTTGTTTCATTTTTGTTATGTGATTGGTGAGTAGACTGGAAATTTGTTTCGATGTATTTGAATGAGGCTTTTAAAGAAGGGGAAAAAAGGGCCTCTGAGAATAGTTCAGTGCTTTAGAAAATAAAGAGGAACAATTGAGATCCTGGCAGCAATAAAGTGCCCTATGACCCGGAGATTTTTTTAAAATTCAATAACGGGACGAGGGTGACAGTGGCTAGGCAGCATTAATCACCCATCCCTAATTGCCTAGAGGGCAGTTAAGAGTCAGCCACATTGTTGTGGGTCTGGAGTCACATGTAGGCCAGACTACTTAAGGATGGCAGTTTTCTTCCCTTATGGACATTAGTGAACTAGACACGTTTTCCCGACAATCAACAATGGATTCATGGTCATCGTTAGATTTTCAATTCCAGATATTTTATTGAATTCAAATTCTGCCATGTCAGGATTCAAACCTGGCTCCCTACAATGTTATCTGGACCCCTGGATTAACAGCGATAATACCACTAGACTATCACCTCCCCTTTTGGATACTGAGATTTGAATCAGGTTTGTTTTGGAAAAATGAAGTATTCCAGAAGGTTATTGAGTGGCCAAGCTTCTTTCAGAGTGAGAAGTAGGTTATATAGAGAAAAAAGGCCTGTACCAGGATCAGTACAGATTAGTAGTCCCCAAAATAGGGCAGAAGTAATCTCCTGAAAGGCTTAATGTCAGTAAGAGAGAAGCTCCAGCATAGAGAGCAGTATAATAGGAGGAGGAGTTCGTGTTAAGAAATAATTGAGCTGTGTCAGTAGTTTAGTGGTCTCAGAGAGACACATTAACTGAAGAAATAGTATTAAGTAAATGCACAAATTTACCAAAAAGAAAACCAATACAGACTTGCCAACTCAAGGAACTTTAAAGAGTAAACTAGATGATCCTTCACTGAAGTTTGAGTATCTTTAATGTCGTTGAGGCGAAGAAAGGATTGAAGTTTTATTTCTGAAACTTTTAATAAGACTATTTCAAATAGTCATAGAATCATACAGCATGGAAACAGACCCTTCGGCTCAACTCCTCCGTGTTCACCACATGTCCAATCTGACCTAGTCCCATTTGCCAGCATTTGGCCCATATTCTTCTAAACCCGTCTTCCTATTCATATACCCATTCAGATGCCTTCTAAATGTTGTAATTGTACTTGCCTCCACCACCGTTCTTTTGTAGAATAAAGTAGTTGGTGTTGCGTTCCCTTTGTGTCATGTATCAATACCTTGTCAAAAATACATTGGCAGTGATTTTGAATGTGTTAGTGACTAACCGCCATGGTAAACAAATTACAAAAATAACATTTAAGGTCCATCAAGCCGTGTTTTACTTTGGGATCTCACTTGTCCAATATTGCCATTAGCTTGAATCATCCCACAGTGGCGATGAAACATTATGGAATTCTTATTTTCTCCCATATAGTTTCATATTATCTCAATTTTTCATCTTGTGTTCTATTTAACTATAGATGGGATTGAATCACTGTAATTGCTTGGAGCAAGTGAATTGGTCTGGAGCTTAATCAACATAATCACATGCAATATCAGCTTCAGATTAATCTCATTGAATCTCACTCATTTTCATGAATGGTCATCATCGACCTGAAACGCTAACTCTGTTTCTCTCCCCAGATGTTGCTTGACCAGCTGAGCATTTCCAGCATTTCTGTTTCTTGTTTCTTTCATGATTGAGATTTCTTTTTTGCACTCTCAAAAAAGTAGAATGGAAGAATTTTAATGATTAATGTTATTTGACTTGCGTTAGCTTCATAGTGCACCATTGGAAACTGAAGGAGGTGCCAAGTGGGGCAATACATTTCTCTGCACAGAATTAGAAAGTAGGCCAAGCATTTGTAGTTTTTGCAAGGTAGAACTGGAGAAACTCAAATTTGCTTTTTTTTTGTTGACTCTCCCTCTGGCCTAAAGAATCGTTTTGTGTTATAGGAAACAAAAAGGTCTGACTTAAAAATGAATGTGAAGAAAGAATATATTTTGGAAATAAATCTACGAGTAATCTGGACCAACATCTTGCCCATCACTTTACATATTAGAAGTTTGAAGGGAGCTAAGATCTCTCTCACTTGAAACCTGTGTTTACCAAAGGTACATGCTTTGTTTTCCTTTCAGGGTTCCTTGACAGATTATCTAAAAGCTAATGTGGTTACTTGGAATGAATTATGCCATATCGCTGAGAGCATGGCAAGAGGCCTAGCTTATCTCCATGAGGATAAGCCTGGTTTAAAAGATGGACACAAACCTGCTATTGCTCACAGGTATGTCTGGCTAATTGATGTTCTTAGGACCTGTTTCTGAGCTTAGTTAAATAATCATTAAATTTGGAGTGCAGTTCAAAACCCATGAATGGAATATTCAGACTGTTTGATCATCATGTTTCCTTTCTTGAGTTGCCATTGTTCTTAGTTCTGTTGAATGTGTACTCATCTCAGAGTCTTAAGATGATGCCCTCCAGCCATGCTCCAAGACTTGACAAAATGGGTTGGATTTTCTGGAGTTGGGCCAATATGGAGGCCTTTAAAAATGATGGACAGGAACCAATTTGGAATTCTTGCTCCAGCAGTTTTCACTGGCACAGGATGAGGGCAGGGTTAGTGAGCCTGTCCCTTGTACTTCAGACCTCACTAGTACCATTGCAGGGGTAAGCATCAAGTACTCAATTGCCTGCAGTTTGAATGGAGTCAGGCTTGCTTCTTGATGGTTTGTGGTTCATGGTGCCTCTTGGGAGTTTTGAACCAAATTTTAGATTCAGAAACTTTCTAGAAGATGAGTTTAAAACCAATGCCTCCTATCCTTGCTGCCCACTTGTCCATTTTGCACTCTACACAGAAGCAATGAGACATATAATAACAGTGACAAACTTTAAAATGGTTGTGAACAAAGCATCCATTCAGAAGTCTGGAAAAATATTGTTGCTCTTACTTTACAAAAGATAAATCAGACACTGCCGTTTGTAGTTTCAACTACAGAATCTTTAGTTGATTTCATATCTCTTAACCAAATGAACATACAGATACTGAAAGGAAGAGTTCAAAGAAAGAATAATTTGTTTTATTAATTCAAGAATGTGGGATTTCCCAACTGCCAGGTTTGTTGCCTATCCTATTGCCCTTAAGAAGTTGATGGTGAGCTGTTACCTTGAACTGCTGTAGTCCATTTGATGTAGGCATCCCCATGGTGCTGTTAAGGACAGGAACCCAGGTTATGACCCAGCAACAGTAAAGAAACACCAATACAGTTCCAAGTCAGGATGGTGAGGGACTTGGAGGGGAGCTTGCAAGTATTGGTGTTAACATATTTCTGTTGCCCTTATCCTGCTTGATGTAGTGGTTGTGGGTTTGGAAGGTGCAGTCTTGTAGCTGGTACATGAGGTTGCTACTGTGTGTCAGGAGTGAAGGGTCTGAAAGTGTGGATTTGGTGCGAGTCAAGTGAGCTGCATTGTCCTTAGTCCTCCTGAAGTATTGCTGGAGCAGCAGTTATCATGATTAATGGGGATTATTTCATCACCCTTTTGACTTGTGCCTTATATGCAGTGGACAGGCTTTGGGGCATCAAGAGATAAGTTACTTGTTGCAGGATTTCTAGCTTCTGACCTGTACTTGTAGCCAAAGTATTTATTTGGCTAGTCCAGTTCAGTTTCTAATCATTAGTAGCCACAAGCATGGTTGATTGGGTGTGCAGTGGCAATGCCGTTGAATGTTGAGGAGGAATGGTAGACTCTTTTGTTGGAGATGGTTGCTGCCTGGCATTTGTGTAGGCACTGGTCAGCACATGCCTGGATACTGTTCGGATCTTGCTGCATTTGGCATGGATTGCTTCAGTATCTGAGGAATTGCAAATGGTGCTGAATATTGTGCAATAATCAATGAACATACCAATGTCCTTATGATGAAAGAAGGTCTTTGATAAAGCAGCTGAAGACAGTTGTGCCTAGACCTAACTTGATATATTCTTCGTAAAACCACAAAGCCACTTTCACATGTGAGAACAGATCCTTACTAAGCAAACCAATTAGTGTGTTGGCACTCTGCTAAGCATCTACAAAGAGCCACGTGACAGCTGCAAACAGAAACCCAGTGCCAGTTAGGTTTTGCAAAGCAAATTTCTGAACAGGTGTTCTTTCTTGTAAGCATTTCAAGAGTTCCCTCTTTCATTATATAGCTCATTGTTATCTACTGGATAAATGGACATGAAGAGGGAATGGGATGTGAGTGGGAGTTTGAGGGATAAATCCAAGAGAACACAAGTGGGCCTTCTAACCATTCTGCCTTAACACACTGTAGTTGCCACTGAATTGCTTCTGTCCTTGGTGAGACTGATGTGATCCTGTATCTCTGCACCAAAAATTGTGTGTGATGGCCATTTAATGGAGATGGGTCTGACAAGTCAGGAAATTTCCCAACTTGAGCTTCACATCCTATTAATGAAAGTCTGATCTTCTGTTTCAGTTGGCAGTCATGCAATTCCTACAGCTGTGGGTAAGGTATTACACCAAGGTCCTGACTACCTATTCCAATAGGTTTAGGTGAATGTCGAAAATACCTGAAGATATTTGAATGGAATGCTCTGATTTCCTCTCCAATGCTTATTTTCCAACGGTTGTCACTAAAACAGGAAGACTAAAGTCGGTGGAGATCAGAAGTACATTTTGGTGACTTGATATTCCTAAGCAAAGGAAGATGGTTGTGGTTGTTGCAGCAGTGTGTACTCTTTATACAAGATGCATTTCACTGACTCACCCATGATGCTTTAAAATTAACTTTAAAACCTGTGACTTCCACCACCTAGAAGAATGAGGGCAGCAGATAGGCATGTGAGTTACCCTCCAAGCCACACGCCATCCCAACTTGGACAATATTGCTGTTCCTTCCCTGTTGCTGGGTCAATATCCTTACTCTCAGCACCAGAGGTGTCCCTACATCCCAAAAGTCTTTAATAGCTCAAGAATGCCACCTTCTTCACAGCAATTAGGGATAGTCAATCAATACTGGCTGCGTCGGCAATGTCCACATCCCGTGGATGAATTTTTTTGAAAATCAGCTTACCATGGATACTATTGCTGTTAGTAAAATGGCTACCATGTTTATGTATGCAAGTTATGCATTTCAAAATTATGTCCTACGTAAAAGGTATCGCAGCATAAGGTATCGCATAAAGCAAGTTTTTTATTTCTTGAAGTAATATGTGCACATGATCTATAGTTGCTGATATGATATTTCTTTTAGTTTATTTCGTAAGAACTGGTATTTCTGCCTTGTCTGAACAGGGATTTCAAAAGTAAAAATGTGTTGCTGAAGAACAATCTCACCGCTTGTATAGGAGATTTTGGTTTAGCTTTGCGATTTGAAGCTGGGAAGTCAGCAGGTGATACCCATGGCCAGGTATGATCTGTCAAAATAAATATTAATCAAGAATTTCTGTATGAAATTTGGTAAAACATGACTGCTTGACTTTCCATATGTTTCAAAGCTTTTTTTAAAATATACTCACAAATGCCATGTTGAACTATCTCTAATTTGACAACCCGTTGTGTGCCTCAAATGTGAAATGATTAAATGCCACAGTACATTTGAGTTGTTTTTCTAAACAGACTGAGGAATATTATTGGTGCAGAATAGGAACTTTTTTCTCAAGATACCTTGGCTGATTAGTCGGCAGGATTCAATTCCTAAAACCTTCACAAACAAAAATTTATTTTGTGAGAACTCTCCCAAATCTCAAAGTATATTACTTCTAAGTATAGAAATCTCTAATTTTGGGTCTCCTTTCCCCTCAACTACTCTAACAACATCAGAAAAATGAAGATACAGTGTGGTTCTTAATTTCAATGGGAACTGCAGCTTTAGTGTTACCCTGATATTGAGAGCAGCTCCTGAGTTCAACCAGGAAATTGCAGCCGTTAAAATATTTTCCAGCGCCTTTTGGGATTCTGGCGTCAATATGTTTGATTGGAACTAGACTAATTCCACTTTCTCTGAGTATATGATATGGTTGTATTTTCTCAGGTTGTGCATAACAGTGCCTGTACTTGTGTATCTTGAAATCAGCAGTGATGCAACGGTGCTCGACAATGACCTAGAAGAAAGCTGCCCACAAATGGCCAGCACGGTTGCTCAGTGGTTAGCGCTGCTGCCTCACAGCACCAGAGACCCGGGTTCAATTCCACTATTGAATGATTGTTTGTTTGGAGTTTACACATTCTCCCCATGTCTGCGTGAGTTTCTTCCGGGTGCACTGGTTTCCTCCCACAGTCCAAAGATGTGCAAATTAGGTGGATTGGCCGTGCTAAATTATCCCGTAGTGTCCAGGTATGTTAACCATGGGAAATGCAAGAGTATGGGGGTGGGATGCTCTTCAGAGGGTCAATGTGGACTTGTTTGGGCCGATTGGCCTGTTTCCACACTGTAGGGATTCTGTAATAAATAATCTAGCCATTTTTGTGATACGGGCTTCTTTTCTTGATGGCTACTTAAATCAAATGCCAAGTCAAACTAAGTAGAAAAAAATGCTATCCTTCATATCTAATTGAAATTGTCAAATTACAAAATAAGTGAGTGAATTTAGGAACTAAACTGTTGATGCATGCTAACTTTTCAAAAAAAAAAGTGGATTTTTTCTTTATCATTATGAAAGTTTGACATTCCACACAATTAGCTTTACAGGGCCAGTGATGTTATCAGTAAGTATGCTGTTAAAAACCTGGTTGCACTTCATTCACCATGAGTCTTTTTTTCCCAGTGATTTTTACGGAAGATTAAGTGTGCAAAAATTAAAGCTCTCTCCAATTCAATGATTTCCCATTAATTGCAATTTTAATAGTTGGTTCCAGAGGAGATTTGAAAGACGGAAGTGTTACTTATTTCTGCACTTAATCTACATTTCTGCCTGTACAAATTCCTAAAGCTGCTGTTGGTTTTAGTGTTGTGATGACAGTGATCACTGACAGCTTCACATTACTACAATAAGAACAGAGCCTTGAAGTCCTTTTTCATTCCTTTCTGGTCAGTTTCTCATGTTGCCAAAACAAACTACCCAAAACATAAATGTAGTTTGATGTGACTTAGCATTATGCATTATTGGGAATCTTCATTATCCAGTTGTATGCATGGAAGTATTCTTAGATTTAGGAAGAGTGTTTGAACATTTTTATCTGATGGAAATATATTTTCCAACCAACACTGCTTAAAAGTATACATATATTTGATTGCTGTGTGAGAGACCATGATGTGAGCACAATAGCTACACAATTTGCTTAGATAATAGTAACTACCATTCTGATGTGATTCTTTGGCTGTAAGATGTTACACTGGATCAAATAGAAACTTTTCTTTCAATATAGGCGTCTTAGGGATTTTTAAAGTATATTTTCCTCTTCATCCAAGGTTGGCACCAGAAGGTACATGGCTCCAGAAGTATTGGAAGGTGCCATAAATTTCCAGCGTGATGCATTCCTCAGGATAGACATGTACTCAATGGGTCTTGTGCTGTGGGAATTGGCATCACGGTGTACAGCTGCAGATGGTTAGTAATTTTTTTATTATAATCTTAATTATAAAAGTTAATCTAGTTCTTCTGAGTAGAACTCAAATGTACATAAGAAATCCATCATGAAGCTTTGTATTTTGCCTCCTCCTGTAGAATACATTGAAGTCACAGTATAGAAGTGGTCTATTTAGCCCAAATGGCCCATGTCCGTATATGTCCTTTTTTTTTAAAAGACAAAGCAGTAGACATGTATATGGATTTCAGCAAAGTGTTCAAGAAAGTTCTACATACTAGACTGGTCAGTAAGGTTAGATCACATTGGATCCAGAGGGAGCTAGCCAATTGAATACAAAATTAAAGTAGGGGACTAGGTGGTGTTAGAGGGTACTTTTTGCACTGGAGGCTTGTGACCAGCAGTCTGACACAAGGATAGATGCTGGGTCAACTGCTTTTTGTCATTCATGTAAATGATTTGGATGTGAATACAGGAAGTATAGTTTGCAGATAACACCAGAATTGGTGTGTAGTGGACAGTGAAAAAGATTGAGTGCAATGGGACCTTGATCAGATGGGCCAATGGGCTGAGGAGTGGCTGATGGAGTTTAATTTACATGCGAGGTGTTATCTTTTGGAAAGGTAAACCAGTGCAGGATTTACACACTTAGTGGTAGGGCTCTGGGAAGTTTTGCTGAACCGAGAGACCTAGAGGTGCAGGTGCATAGTTCCTTGAAAGTGGAGTCACAGGTAGACAGGGTAGTGAAGAAGGCATTTGGCACACATGCCTATGGTCAGAATATTGAGTATAGGAGTTGGGATGTCATTTTGTAGCTGTACAGGATATTGGTGAGGCCACTCTTGAAATATGGTGTGCAATTCTGGTTGCCATTCTGTAGGAAAGATGTTATTAAACTTAAGAATGTGCAGAAAAGATTTGCAAGAAGGTTTGAGTTATAGGCAGAGGCTGACTACGCTGGGGAGAGAGATAGTGGAAACTGCAGATGCTGGAGAATCTGCGATAACAAGGTGTAGAGCTGGATGAACACAGCAGGCCAAGCAGCATCAGAGGAGCAGGAAAGCTGACGTTTGGGCCTAGACCCTTCTTCAGAA